AATTTGTCACAGATGTCAAATAAAAAATATATTTTTTAAATACCTTTTATTGGCAAATAAAATAAGAACCAAAATGTTTTAAATATTTATTTTATAAGATCAGTCCCATTACAATACATAATATTACACAGACACAAACTAGAATAAAGATATATAATGCCTGGCATTCTAAATGATACTCTTCGTAGTTTAACAGACCCCCTTAACCCCCATTTTCAACCAGATTGTTTTCACAATCAATAGGCCTCATCTCCTTATATAGGACCTGATTTTTACTAAACATTTCATGTTGATATCGCTTTACATTTTTGTTTTTTTTTTAATGTCAACCCCCCTTAAATTCCCTATATTTAGTCAGATTTTTTTTATAATTAAAGGACTTCTCCTTTTAGAGCTTGATGTTTGTTAAAAATTTCAAGTTGATATCATTTTTCGTTTTTCAGTAAGGATTTTTTTTAATATTTTAACCCCCCTTAACTCCCTAATATATTCATATTTTTTCAGTATCAATAGGCTTTATCTTCTTATAAAGCTTCATTTTTACTAAAAATTTCATGTTGATATCGCTTTTCGTTTTTAATTTAGGATTTTTTTTTTTAATTTCAACCCATCTTAGCCCCCTATTTTTAATCAGCTTTGTTAAAAATCAATAGGGTACAACCTTATAGAGCTTGATTTTTGCTTAAAATTTTCAAGTTGATATCATTTCTCGTTTTTGACTTATCGTGCAAACAAAAAACGTGACATCGGACTGAAAACTATATGAAGAGTAGAAAAAAAAATGTATAAAGTAAAATAAACAGTTTAAAGAGGTCAACAATAATATTCAACTTCTTTTATTAAAGAATACTAAAAGTTTGAAATAGCAGCACATAATTGAACATTTACAGAAATCTGTGAACTAAAATAGTGAGAAACACATCGTAAAATGTTGTCACACTTAATTCTCCATATGACCCTTTCTAAGTGTATTTCACAGCACATTCCAAAGTATTCTTGCTCTCGCCACTGTCCTACCCTCATGGCAGACTTTTGCATGTACATGTTAAAAAATAATGTGTTTTAATAAATAACAGAATAATAGTAATTTTGTCTAAATAGGTAAATCGGCTTCATCTGTATTTTCAAATTATTGTTTAATTGTAGATAGTATATTAATGTTTTGATATGTACTTATAGGATTGATTACACAGAGCATGTAGATATGTGGGATGTGACTTGTTAAGTGCCTAATCAAAATTTATGTTTAATACTTATTGCTCTTTTCGAGACGTATTTTATTACCAACTGTAAACTAAATTACCAACAGCCTTATTTTTATTTAATACCTGCATGATCCAAATTACCAATATATCTAATATTTTTGAAAATACTAAATTATGCAAACAAAAAAATAAAAAAATGTCATTAAAATAAAAGATTTCAGGATAACACGATTGATAATTATAGGCAAACAACTGTATATAAATTATTTAAATGTACATACCATTTCTTAGGTAAAATTTCTCATTGAGTGTATTAAATTAACTGGTTGGTCCATTTTTCTGATTCAGACTTTTAAAGTGAAAAATCATTTGTCTCTTTATCTTTATCAAACCTTTATTGTACATTTCCATTTCCATAATGATGTCAAGTAGTTACCTTATCAGAATAATTCTTTAAAACTAAAACATGGTTTCAGTTCGGGCTATACCAGTTACCGATACCTGGTGCTCGCTCGCATCGCGTTCTCCTCCTGTCTTTTCCAAATAAAAATCTCGGGAGACTGTGATGCGATTGAGACTAGCACAGCCAGCGATGCGACGGGACCGCGATTGCCTTAAGGCAAACGAGTTATTAGAAATGTTTATAAAATTAGAATTTTCAATAAAAAGTTAATTGTGAAAAACCGGAAGTACGTCATGACATCACAGAATAATTGAATCGGCTATAACAAAGTTTTTGCTCTAAACTTTTAAACACAAAAGATCATTCAGATATTTCAATAATTAATAAAGATAAGAGATGGTAGAACTTGAAGTGACCAGCCCTGTAAAGGGTAAAAGATCCTTCTGTTATGCTATTGAGGATTTCCCCGAGTAGATTTCAAATATTGAGTTACCGCAATATTTGAACTTTGTGCTGTAATATGATGAAACTACAATCAGCTGATTTATACAGTAATGTAATTCGCGCTTGGCAACGTCGCGCTGAAAATTTGCGGTGCCGACGCGACTGCCGCTGTAGTGAGATAAGAATTGATTGCGATTCGGTCGGCATCACCATGAGTCGCGGCGCGGCGCGTCGTGTAGCGTCATTTTGCGTGTCACGAAAAGCAGACTCCTCCTTTCGCGTCTAAAACTAGCAAAATTTTCCTATATTAGTTTTTATACGACTGTAAAACAGACATAAAATATGAGAATATTAACGGGAATGACACACCGGTAGACTGGTAGCGTAGTACAAGGTTGTTTCTAGGGCAATCAAAACTACTTATATATTAACACGTTGACTGCCGACTACAACTGCAGGATTCTTTGTCTCAAACAATTTCCAATTTTGTTAAAAATGGTTAGAAAGATGGCTAATTTGGTAAAAAAATTGCAAATTTTTTTCGAAAAAATGTCCGAGTTGGTTGGACAAAACTATCCGCCTATTTGGTTAAACCAAAAATGGGTAATTTGGTAAAACAAATGCAAATTTGTCTTAAGAAATTGCAAATTTGTTTTTAAAAATCTCCAATTTAGGCTAAAAATAAAATTTGTATGAAAAATGTCCAATTTGGCATATTACTGCACTGTGTAGGTAAACAATTTTGTATTTCGTTCGTGAGTTATAGTTACTGTTTTTGTTGTTAATTGATTGAAATAATTTCACTTGGGATTACTAAAGTAATTATTAACATCCTAAACAACGGTACATGTGCGCAAGCAGATTCCTTAGCTCTTCAACGAGATTTGGTGAGATAAACTAGATTAACCTCAAAAATTCTTTCACACTCTTCTTATCACCTTGCTCGAGAACTAATCAGAGGCGTATCAATAATTATTTGGTTTTCCTAATTATTTTATTTTAAATATTAAAATGCCTGCTCGCGTAGCTTGTAAATGTTGTAATCAAGTTTCTGATGGTCATTTAATGGTTGCATACAGTGTGTGTAAAGACAAATTTAAACATACATGTGTTGATATTACTGCCAATGAAGTACAAACCTTAAATATGAACAAAGGCTATGATTGGACCTGTATCGGTTGTAGAGCTATTGGGAAAGATCTCTACAACAAGAAATTAAGGCATTAAAAGATGAGAAAAACCAGCATACGAAGTCATCCGAGTTTGATTTTGAAGATGTAATGTATGAAATATCTGAACGACAGAAACGCCGAAACAATATTTAGTCCATTTAAAATAACGGTAAAAGGTCGAGAAACGCCGCACTTGACGAGACCACTTCTCCCCTACGTATTTTGGGGCGCTGATTACGAAAATCAGAGTTAGAACTTGCAGCAATGGTTGACCCACCCCTACAATTGCAAAAAAACACCCCTACATAGGGGTGTTTTTCGACTGTACTTGTTTTTAAAATTAAATCATCTTATATGTTTTTTGGGGCGCTGATTACGAAAATCGGTGTTAAAACTTGCAGCAATGGTTGAACCATCCCTAAAATTGCGGTGTTTTTCGACTGTACTTGTTGTTTTGCAAACTAACTCATCTCATATGTTTTTTGGGTCGCTGATTTAGAAAATCGGGGTGTCGAGACTGGAAAATTTGTGTGACAACCCCCACATGCCAGAAACACCCCTCCCAAGGGGTGAATTTTCGGAAAAATTTTCGTGAACTAAGTTGATTGGGCCGAAACAACAACAGAATTTGACGAGGATGAAGAAATTTGTCCATGCAAAATACCAAGACTAGATTTGAATACAACTGAATAGTGATATCTTGTAAGAAGTTTGATACTTGTCATATTTCTTATCTATTAATACAAATATATTCCATTTTTAGTTTTTGTATTTTATATTTTATTTTTCACCAAAATCCACCGGTTGGGAGAGGTGTTTCTGGCATGTGGGAGGTGTCACACAAATTTTCCATAACAGTGGGTTTTTATACCTTATTTCTTAGCTGACAAACTTCTTCATGTAAGTATATTTGAGTGTGAATATTTATGGTAATGTTATTTGATGAATAAAAAGTTATGAGTACGCTTAGGTCTTTTTATAGTTTTTTCGCTGAAGTGACAAAAAAATAGAAACATGCGTCGATGAATTTAAATTAAAGTTACGATTGTATAACAAGCTTTTGAACTTTCAAAGATAGCAAAAAAATTGTTGTATTTTTTTGAATATTTTTGTTTTTTTATTTTTTTGTATTTTTTTGTATTTTTTTGTATTTTTTCGTATTTTTTGTGTTTCTTTTGTATTTTTTTTGTATTTTTTTGTATTTTTTTGTATTTTTTTGTATTTTTTGTTTTTTTTTGTTTTTTTTTTGTATTTTTTGTATTTAATTGTACTTTTTTGTATTTTTTTTATTTTTTTTGTATTATTTTGTATTTTTTTTGTATTTCTTTTGTATTTATTTTTAGAAATTTTTACATTTTTTGTATGTTACAATTAATTTAATAATTAGTGTTCTTTAGTTTAATTGAAACATATAATTAGGCTATGCCTGTTTGTGTCTTAAATAAATAAATAATATAGAAAAAAAGTGAAATGTGTCAAACTTCCGATTTAAAAAGAAGGATTATCTGCAGATAATTTTTTTATACTTCAATGATTCAATATTATGGAGGTAAAATGAAATACAATAAATTCTATGTGTTTATAATTATTTATTTTAGGTACAGTAATCCTTAAACGGATTTATAAATATTTAAGTCCAAATAACTAAAACGAAATTCTTACTATACATTATCCAAATTATTTATAAAATATTCTCGTTAATTTCGTCAATCGAATCAATAATCACATAAATTATTATAAATAATTTATTATTAATTATAATTATCCTAATCATAATCACGTCTTCATTTTATCCATTTTGATATCTTCGAAAGTTCTATAAGTCGATTCTTGTTTTTTTGGTTCGTCCGTTTTGTTGTTTTGAGGTTCTTCGAGATTATTCCAGCTCTGTACTTCCCCGGAACCAAATAAATTGTAAACAATGCCGGTGGTTATATACACGCCGGCGGCTATGCAGAAAACAAAGGTCCACAACTGTTTTTGAGTCTGAAAAAAAAAACGAACTATAATTTTTTGTTGTATTTTTTAAAAGCTGTAAAGTTTTTCAAAGGAAAGGGGGTACTTTATGGGAGGCCGTTTTTATATTTTATGGAATATATCTGTTATTGATGTTTGGAGAAGAAAATTGTTCAGATAAAAATTACTTAAAATATTATTATCTATAATTTTGGTCTTAAACAATTTTTTTTAAAATGGTCCGTATTCGAGAAATTTGACAAAATTTAATAAAATTCAAATTTTTAAGAAAATTGTTTAAATAAAAGTTATTTGTGATATCGATCTCTATAATTTTTGTTTTTTATATGATTTTTCTAAAATGGACCGTATTGGAAAAATTGAAGGAAAAGTGCTAAATTTAAATTTTTCAGCATTTTCGTTTTTAATGAATATCTATAGAAAAATGTTTCGAGTTAGCTGTATGTGGAAAATGTATATATTTAGTTTATCCTCTAAACATTTATAGAGGTGCTGCAATAGGTTGTACAAAATAACCGGAAAAAACCTATAATAACTAGATAGGAAAGTCATGCGTTGGACACATCAGAATTTTTCAGAAGCAAAGGTATGGCTACAAATATTTTGTCCTACAACCATATATATGAAAGTGATACAAAATAAATAATATTTTATTAATCTTTTTTCAGACAGCTCATTTTACATTTTTTATAAAGTTTGTTTATTAAAAATTCAGATGTCATAAAAAAATACAATTAATATTTTTTTTTATTTTTTCATTTAATTTAATTATTTAAAATTAATTCTGATGCCTTGGTTGGATTCCCCACTCGACTATTCACTGTTGGGTTCTAATTAACAGTGCTGTTCCTAAAGTGGCGCTGGGAAACAGTAACAAAGCCTGCACGGAACACGAGGCGAAATAACCTTATCAGTTAAAGTCGATGACACACCAAAAAAAAAAAAAAAAATAGGTATATAAGATCGATTCAGATCTTATGTGTTCAGTCAGGTCAGGTAGATGATTTAAAAGTTAAATACTTTTGTGTACTGGAGTTTTTTCAAAGATGAGGCAGAGTTGGGTAACATATATCCGGATACTTTCGGAAAATCTTATTTTTTGTCTCGAATATTATTATACTATGTAAGTGTTTCATTATCCAATGTTTTACCATCCATTTTTAAAAATTATTCACAACTCACAACCATTACAAATATAGAACTAACCATATTTTCATTGAATCTCTACAATCTCTTTAATTAAAAAAGGAACAAAGAACAATTGAAGATTTCCTGAAAAAAAAAATAGGGCGAATGAACTAAAATATGCTCACTCGTTATAATTTTGTTATTACTCAGTATAATTTTATTAAATTCAGTAAATGTTTTGGAATTCATAAGACACACCTATCAGCAAAAAATCAATTAAATAAACTTTACCAGTGGCATACAGTATGTGTAAGTAACACCTTCAACCTCTCTTCCACTGTCCAAAAACTTATTTGGATTATAATTTTAAATTTTTTCTTAAATAAATTATTCTTTTAAAAATCTTAAATTCAAAATAAATTAATATAAAGAAAATCCACCTTTGCGTGCGAATATCTTGAAAAACCAATCACTTCATAAGTTTCCAACAAGAGCACATAATTTATGGAAAAAACATCAACAAATTTATAATTATATACCAAATAAGTTGATAGAAGGGATGAAGGTGTTACTTACCCATGTCGTACACCAATAGCAAAGTTCATTTTGTATTTTTTTTGTCGATAGGCGTATCTAATGAAACCAAGTAATAAAAAAATTATAGCGATTAATAGTTTTTAATTGAACTCCCTGATTACATTTTCATTTAATTATAAAAATGTTTAGTTTAAGTTAATTTCCACCTGTAAGCATTTTTAGGAACCACCGTATTATTTCTTAAAAAATTCCTTTGTTTAACATTTGCGAGAGCCCCCACAATTCAAAATATATAAATATTTGCTGAAATTCGAATCCAGCTTTAAACGTTCAAATTCTGGTCATTTTCGCAAATATCAAAAGGACTTTTTTCAGTCCTTCGATTTGAAAATATTGGCTACTCCCACTCCGAACCACTCTGAGCGTAAAGTATAAAGCCGGGCTCCCGCACAATTCGTTTTTCTTTCTGCTGCTTTTTTTCCAGTGACGAAGTAATGCTGTCGTTTTTTATTATCGGCGTCTGTGGAGACGTAAAGTAGGAATGAATCTTTCACTAGTAACCTCCCTATTAAGATTTATTTTAATGTTCTCATAAGTGACCGTCGCCTGTTAAATATTAGCAAGGAATTATTTGCAATATAACGAGAAAATTAGTCTTTACTAATCCCAAATTTTGGACTGTTTTAGGATATCTGAACTTTCGTAAGAGAGGCCAGTCCAGAGTTATTGCAGTCTGGTTTCAACGATGGAACTTCTTAAAATAAAAGTAATAATTTCCCTTGTACGGAATACCGTTTTGTCAGATCTGAAGTTACGTAAGCCAAGCAAGTCCAGTGACAGCGTAGTCTAATATCGCTGACTTAATTTCTCAACATCCATAATCCCCCGAGTCAATGGACCCTTCGCGACTCCCGCAATCAGTGAAATCTTTAATTCACTACCTACCGTCGATTACGAGATAACGTTGCCCCTTATCCGTCACTGTAACAATAATCTTTTAATCAGGGACCGACAAATAAACTAGGCGAATTTTAACCAAGCTGAATTTTTCCAAAAATCCAACCATAATTTCGAGGCTATCTCAGTTCAGGTAACTAACGCCGTTTTTTTTTTTAATTTATCGCAAGGAAAATATATATTGTTTTTCGATAGTAAGTAATGTCGAGTAAAATATTAAATCTGTTGTTTTTGTAATTTCTTCCGATACATTGATTATACTGGTAATTAAATCTTATTTTGAATACCGTATATTTATTTTATCTTTCGTATGACGCAGTAGAATACAGGGTATGTACCAAAAATTATTTAAAATTGCGAATTTAATTCTTTTATTTTTTTAAATTTTTATTTAATTTATGTATTCCCTTGAGGCTTTCCTTTTGTAATTGTATATTCTTAAGTTTAATTATTATACTCTTAATTAACCTGGAGGCTGTCTAGATCTATTGCTTTGTTTTGTATTAACTTCCAAGAACTTTTAATTTAGTAAATATATTTTATTCTCTTATTTTTTTTATATATAAACATTTTCACCGTTTATTAGGAATTTCCGCCTTTACCGCTTTATATTTAATTTTTATTTTAAACGAAACATTTTCACTAGATTAATTATACTGATAATTAACTTAGAACTCTTCTCCGTTTAGACCATCCGTCTTACTGATTTATATTTATTTTCATATTTTTTTTTATTATTTGTGTTGGCCAATAAATATACACTAAAATTATTTAAGTTTCGTATTGCTCTACCGTGGTTACCGGTTTAAATATATTATTTTGTATAAACTTTCTGTGTTTTTTTTTTTTAACTAGGCCCCTTGTTTATATAGTTGTTCTAGAATACCTTTAGGGTAAATGGTATAAGGTGATTACACCTTTTAGGTTGAGTAACGTGGATATTATTGGTGTAGAATTTACTCGAGGGTTTCAGAGCAAATTGCGTTATCAAAACTGGCGCCCGGGCAGCATATTTACACATCCTCCTATATGACGGCACCGGAGTGCTGAAATCTGTTCGCCTTTGTAACCTACAAGTACGCTACAAAAGCTCATTGATTTAGGCACCAATGCATGAGGCCTCTTTTATTGCTGGAATCAGTAAGCAAGCTTATCTGCATTCTATGAAACAATGGCTGTACTTAAACTGCCGTTAAACGGTCGTGTACTAAAATGCCGTTAATAGACATGATGTCATTCAAATGACTCAGTTGAAGTGTTTTGGGATTACAAAAAAAGAAAATATACAAGAAGAAAACGAAGCAACGACTTCTCGTAGGGTGGCGGCTTCGCCGCCACCAAAAAATGTATACCCATCCCTGGCTACGCCTACCGACATAGACGCCAACGGCCTGGACACAGCTAAAATTGAAAAGTAAAGTCTCACATAACATAAAATTTGTATGGGTGTCTAAATCAATGAGCTTTTGTAGCGTACTTGTAGGCTACAAAGGCGAACAGGTTTCAGCTCTCTGGTGCCGTCATATAGGAGGATGTGTAAATATGCGACCGGGCAACAATTGTTCTAAATAACAGTCTGGCGCCACCCACGACTTCCACCTCACCATAAGTGAAACAAGAAGACGTGTCACACTATATAGCGAGATTTTGTAGATTTACATTTTTTGATTAAAATATGTTATAGACGTAGAAACCATATTGTACAACACTTGTTTAAAAGAGATATTTGACTTTCCGAACTCATAATATACCTACTATTAAATACGCGCTATTAACCTAGTCCATTCCCAAAGGCTCAAACGTGGTGGCACTGTATGAAAATTCCCGACAAAAACGGTATGTTATATTTATTTACCTCTTTATATCCAGTAACACTGATCACCATGTCAACAATCAGGGGCGAAAATAAAGAAAATATATTCGATACGCTGTTCGTCAGAGCCATCAAAGTGCCGGCATGTACCGGTGATAAATCGATGTGGTTGACATTGAATCCAGAATATACGGCTGAATTGAATCCCACTGCCATTGTCAACAAAAATATGGCAGCCACTGGGTTCTTGGAGTCGATGAATGTGAGACATATCAGCGAGATGGCTGGTATGAACATTCCTGGAAAAAATATTCAGTTAGTTATTGCCAAAATATCGAATTTGTTACAGTAAAATGCTACTCGAGATGTTCCAGTTACTCCAAACATTCTAAAGATACTCTATTAAAAGTCTACTATTATTATAGTATTACTTTTTCATTCCACATACTATTGATCATTATTGTCAAGTCATGATAATCCAAAGCTGTTCCAAGGCACTCTCAGATGAGCCGACACTGTTTTATTCTGGTAGTCATGCCAGGTTAATTGTTAATAAGGTTCAATATCACTGAAGGAACTAAAGAACATTCTACTTATTTTAGAATCACCTTAATCATTTCCAAAAATACTTCAGTTTCAGCTACTCGATATTTCTATAATACTTCAGGCATTATACAAGGTGGCGCAAAATAAAGTCCCCTATTTGTTTTTTATATAAAAACAGTCATATTATAAATGAAAAATATTTATTTAAACTCTAAACATTTGTTTTGTTACACACTAAAAACAATATCGACAAAATGGCCACCCCCAGCATTAATGCAATAATGAGCTCTTTTTAAAGCATTTTTCATAACTTTCTTTAACATTTCAGGTGGTATTCTGTCAATTTTTCCTGGATGTTGTAATACTTCTAGTGTTCGAGGATTATTAAAAAATACCCTATCTTTAAGATAACCCCATAACCAAAAGTCCGGAACAGTTAAATCGGGAGACCTTGCCGGATATGCAATATCGGTGTTTTTCGAGGTAAGGCATCCAGGAGGCGTATATCGATTCATAATGAATTTCCCAAGTATCTACTTTGCAACTGATAGAAAAACTCGAACAGATGTCAACTACAAAATTCCATAGGGTACTTGATTTTGCGCCACCTTGTAGATGTATTCCTTGCATTAAATGCTTACTTTAAACGACCTTGTAAGCTGTAGGTGCCATTTGATACCACTGCAAAGTTGATGGGAACACTTTACTAAAAATAAAGGTCCTCTTAAACATTAAGTCATACCATACTGTCACTCCAAACATTCTATTATTACTCGTATTGAAGACCTTTACTTGACATTTCTACAAACTTTAAGATAATTCAACTTACTCTAATGTTATTCTACTTATAATAGTAACAATACACTTAGAAATAATATAAAAACTGAATTGACTTACCTATACTATTAAATATCTTTCTGCTAGTACCAGTAGTAACATAATTTTTGGTAATTAAAAAGTCTGCCATGGGACCCATCATCAAGCTTAATATCCAATTGACTAAATAAGGAAGAGACGACAATGAACTATTCTAAAAGAAAAAAAAAATGTGATTTAATATTTTAAATATCTATTTGTAATGGTGTTATAGGGTGTTATAATTTTCATTGGTGATTACTGAAGAAAATAAAACAAAACTGTCAGAATTTTTTGTTATAAATTTAAGATAAAAAAACTAGAAATTGTATCAATTTTTTTTATTAAATATAGGGCTTGTCACCCTTTGCATAAAACCTTGTTTAGTTATGGCACGAATTTGTTTTAAGTTGTAATGTTAAATTATTATTAATCAATATTAAAAAAGTTTAAAGTTTAATAACAATGAACTATGGAAAAGTTGTAACGGGAATTTTTTTCTACCGAGTAGAACTGTCTGTTTAGGAGACTCTCTTGTTAGTGGATTATTCTTAGTAGCGACTTCAGATCGTGGAGACTCCAACAGGAGGCTCTGGATCTAGATCGCGATGGGTTAAACGCGGTTTGGACTAATAAATGTTACAAAAATAATAACTAAAAATATCGTGACAATATACTTACGGATTTTAGATCAAAGAGCAGAATTTCGTTCAAATAAGATGGAATTTCGGTGAGAAGAGTCCAGAATCCTAGATTTTGCCCACAATGTGACACGAGAATAGCCCAAAATGGCGCTGATAAGAAAATATGCTTCCAAGGTGTAGGGGCCTAAAAATATAAAAAAAAATGTATCATTTTAAATATATTTGATAATATTTTTCATGTTGGGGATGTTCAATTGATGGCTGTCAATTAACTGGCCAATTAACCGCTACCTAAAGACAAAAATATTTTTTTCTACGATCACTATCCAAAGTAGGCTTTTGCGCTTCGAAATAAAACCGCAAAGTTGACGTTTTCCGCGAACTGACATTAAGTGATAGCTTTGTTGGTAGCCTAATTTAAATGTCAAGTTAATTGTACGTAGTTTGATTTTAATTATTTTATTATCCTAGTTAACATCGACTTTGAACTCCGTTTTTCATGATTAACTTAGATATAGGCAACATTATACACTACTTTAAGACAAATTTTCAGTTTTCATAAAAATAATGTGTTCGTAGAAAAAATCTTGTGTGCATTTTGAGCGAAAAGTTCCTTGCTGCTTACAAAGTATCATTTTTCGCTATTAATACACAAATAGCTATATTTAAGTTGTATTATGTTACATATCAATATTATAGTATTTTCGAATTGCAGCATTGACATGGAGTTTTGCACCAGTCATTCTTGACGGTTCAGAACACATTAAATTTTTATTTATTTCTTTTATTGTATTTTATAAATAAATGATATTTTAGTCAATTGACAAAAAAATGACCGGTCAAGTCTACAACCCTAATTATTTTAAATATATTCTGTTTTTATATTTATTAGTTGGTTATTACTAGAAATAACACATGTACTGTTCAGTCAATGTATACAAATCAATAAAATCGAAGAGGAAGGTGAAAAATGTTGACTTTTAGTCGAGAAGTCAAGAGACTATCCAAGAAGGCTAGTATGACTGGTTCGATTCTAGATCGTGTTCATAGTTTTCAAAACTTACCAGTTTTTAACATTCTCTGTAACTATATTTAATTACTTACAGACTCTGTAATTTCGTCTGCTACGACGTGCTGCTGTTCAATGTACTGTCGTTCCGACATTGATATTGTTTTGTGTTTGGCTGGACTATCAGAACCGACTATGAAATATAGAACTGACCAAGCCATTCCTAATACTCCGTACAGATAAAAAACTGCTGGCCAGCCATATTTGGAATTGGATATTAACCCAGACAATGGAAGAGAAATTACGTTACCCAGAGGTCCAGCTGAAAAAAATATATATTATTATTTTAATTCATTTTTTGTATTAAAATTGTATTAAAATTGTATTAAAATTGTATTAAAATTGTATTAAAATTGTATTAAAATTGTATTAAAATTGTATTAAAATTGTATTAAAATTGTATTAAAATTGTATTAAAATTGTATTAAAATTGTATTAAAATTGTATTAAAATTGTATTAAAATTGTATTAAAATTGTATTAAAATTGTATTAAAATTGTATTAAAATTGTATTAAAATTGTATTAAAATTGTATTAAAATTGTATTAAAATTGTATTAAAATTGTATTAAAATTGTATTAAAATTGTATTAAAATTGTATTAAAATTGTATTAAAATTGTATTAAAATTGTATTAAAATTGTATTAAAATTGTATTAAAATTGTATTAAAATTGTATTAAAATTGTATTAAAATTGTATTAAAATTGTATTAAAATTGTATTAAAATTGTATTAAAATTGTATTAAAATTGTATTAAAATTGTATTAAAATTGTATTAAAATTGTATTAAAATTGTATTAAAATTGTATTAAAATTGTATTAAAATTGTATTAAAATTGTATTAAAATTGTATTAAAATTGTATTAAAATTGTATTAAAATTGTATTAAAATTGTATTAAAATTGTATTAAAATTGTATTAAAATTGTATTAAAATTGTATTAAAATTGTATTAAAATTGTATTAAAATTGTATTAAAATTGTATTAAAATTGTATTAAAATTGTATTAAAATTGTATTAAAATTGTATTAAAATTGTATTAAAATTGTATTAAAATTGTATTAAAATTGTATTAAAATTGTATTAAAATTGTATTAAAATTGTATTAAAATTGTATTAAAATTGTATTAAAATTGTATTAAAATTGTATTAAAATTGTATTAAAATTGTATTAAAATTGTATTAAAATGGTATCAAAAAAGTATCAAAATAGTATTAAAATCGTAATAAAATCGTATTAATTCTTATTAAATCGTAATAAAATCGTGTGTTAAAATTCTATATTGATATCTTACGATATCTTACCAGCATAAACGAAACTTCCGATCTTAGCTCTATCCTGGAAGGCCGTCCAAAAACTCAACAGACAATGTACGCAAGGAAACATAAACCCCTGCATTAATCCTGTAATAATTCTACATGCTATCACTCCTTGATATCCTAATTGAGCGCCTATTAGCGGTACCAATGCGCAGAATAAAGACGCAATAAAAATGGCACCACCGAAGAACCATTTCGGGCCCCATTTCTTGATAAATTGTCCGGCGACCACTTGGAAGCAGATGTAGCCCCAGAAGAACGACGATAGGATCATGTTCTTGTGGGGAGCCCATTCTGGATAATTCTGAAATACAAAATAAATAATTTTAGAATAGTCTAGGTCAGAATATCATAAATAGTTTTAGAATTAGTAAAATAAATAAGAAACAAAGAGGAAGACCAAGAATATAATGAGTATGTTTTGTTATGTATGGGATATTAATACTCTGCCACCTAAAAGATCTATTGTTAGCCCTTTTGTCGCTTATGCAGCAAGGATATATACTCGATGCCTATAACGATCCTTTCAATTCTATCTTCTCAAGGATTGGAGTGGTTCCAAGTTAGATACATCGACCTCTTCTATTTTGGCATGCTCATACGCTGGTTTTTGGTAAACTCAATTTATTTTTAAACTCAAGCTTTACAATTATACAACCGTGACCAACGACGTAAAACGTCCATCGTACAACTGAACTGTGACAATATAATCGACTTAAATGGCTCCCATGAATCTTCTAGAACCGTCTAGAACCTTATAGAACTTCTAGAACCTTATAGAATCTTATAGAACCTTATAGAACCTTATAGAACCTTATAGAACCTTATAGAACCTTATAGAACCTTATAGACCCTTATAGAACCTTATAGAACCTTATAGAACCTTATAGAATCTTATAGAACCTTATAGAATCTTATAGAACCTTATAGAACCTTATAGAATCTTAAAGAACCTTATAGAACCCTATATAACCTTATAGAACCTTATAGAACCTTATAGAACCTTATAGAACCTTATAGAACCATATAGAATCTTATAGAACCTTATAGAACCTTATAGAACCTTATAGAACCATATAGAATCTTATAGAACCTTATAGAACCTTATAGAACCTTATAGAACCTTATAGAACCTTATATAACCTTATATAACCTTCTATAACCTTCTAGAATATATTGCCCTTGAATTCTGGATTCAGTTAGAATGTGTTCCTCATTTTAGAATCTGCAACCACTATCTTCTATAAGTCAGAATTTACCAAGGTTCCTTTGAATGGGCAATGACCGGTAAGGTTCCTTATTACAACTCGTAGCCTATTATTGTTCAGGCAGATACAGGCTTTAGATACTTTCTGATTATAGTCACCTAAAAGTATCTTAGCCTGTCTTGGCCTCAAGAGATTGTTCCAATGATCGGTTTTTCTACCACTCAATTATTTTTTAATCTCTGCTAATATTGTGTTACTGTTGATACCGTAAAATGACTTAGGTCGTACAAAAGAGGTTTGAATCACTTTCCCTAAGAGACTATCTGTAATCTCGTTATCCTTTATCCCGTTAAGTCTCGTGAGAGTAACTGTATTTTCTTTGCTTAGCTCATTCCGTTTGCTCAGCGCTTTCATGTTTCAGAGAAGTTTTTTGTACAGAGTTAGCTCTAGATTCAGGGTTAGTACTAGAATGTCACGAAGCTTTGGCCGAAGTATCCATTAACAATGTGGTCAACTTAAGATAGATCAAAGGTCACGCCACATCGAAAGGTAGCCGTTTTGCTGAGTCAGTTATCAAAAAGGCAGCCAAACAAATACGTTTTGGACCTGGCCCTTCTAATGGACTGACAACATAGGTTGGGACAAACCCAATTAAAGAACATTCCCTTGTGAAATTCAAGGAAAGATGGGATGAAACAAAAAGCTGCAGACTTGCCAGGGGGCTTTTAAGTTATCCTGACAACACTGCAGCGAACAAATACTTGACTATGACTAGACAGAATCTGCGCCTGATCACAGGCATTCTGACTGAAGCATCTCCATACCATGGGGCTGTCAGAATCCGCACTCTGCAGGAGGTGCGAACAAGAAGATGAGACCATCGAGTATATCTTCTACGATTGTTCGACGCTCTCATTTATTAGAAGATTTGTGTTCGTCGAGAATTGGCTAACACCACCCGATATAAGAGAAGCACCTATTGGTGACGTTGTCAACTACCACATGTTACAGATACAGATAGGTGCAGATATTTGTCTCACCTCGCGGCATTACTCTAGTCCTCTTTGCACTATATTAAACAATATATTTTCAAATTTCCCTTTAGCAAATATGAATATGTCGTCGACATGACATTGACAGGTTTGGCAAGGTCAATTCATCTGCTTAGAAGTTCGTCTACGGCTAGGCTCTATATTAATAGGGTTATAAATCTTCCATGTGGACATTATTTGGTTGTGCAAATTGAGATGATGTCCTGTACTATATGTGTCTCTGTAGTTCTCGTAGATAGAAGTTGAGCCATCAACCTAGACGTGGTAATATCTATTTCTCTGTATGCGAGTGCTCTTTTGACAGACACTGCCGTTTCTTTGTCAGTGTATCCTGGATTTCATCAGTCAGCTTTGCTACGGCAGTTTTTGTCGATATTCATGTTCGTTACGCGTACTGGCTGTGGTGGATTGACACCCTCTCTAAGATTTGTGTTCTGATATAATCATCAACGGCATTTTCCATTGATTTTAATTCAAAGGATGTAAGGTTGATTAGTCGAAAGGATTTAGGATGTGTGGTATCCTTTTTCCCTAGTTTTACATCAAGGTGATGGTTATGTTCTCATGATTTTGTTAGAACAGCTCTTGCTAAATTGCCAATACAAGTATGTGTGTACTTTTCCTCTTAATTAACATTGACGTTTTTACTTTTAAGGATTACAGGTAGGTATAAATATTTAGATATTCGGCTATTAAATTATAAATATGCGTGGTAATTCGTTAATGGAAAATTTTATGTTTTATTTTTCTGTTGTGCATGATAAGAACGATAATGTAATATCTGCTTATAATAAAGCAACAACCTCTTTAATTTTTAATACTTTTACGACAGATAACCTTTTTGGCATGTGTAAAGCATTCTCATTATCTAGTGTTAGATAGTTTTTATTACTACTTTTAAGTGTTCATTTACACAATCTGCATAATAGAAGATTATTCTACATAATAGGCGATTATTCTACGTAATAGGAGATTATTTTATATAATAGGAGATTATTCTGCATCATAGGAGATTATTCTACGTAATAGGAGATTCATTAATAATAATAATGATGATTGTCACTATTCAAAACTAACATTTTTATCTTTATTGAAGCCAGTGGCGGCTCGTGTCTTAGCACATAGGTGGAGCCACGGATTAACATTTTCAGGTGCCTAGCTCAGATTTTGACTTGAAGTCGTTAAAAAGCATATCTTGGATAATATTTTAAAATATATTAACGTGTGCATTTATCATTTTTACAAAATAATAAATAAAAAACTTACCAGAATTTTGCTCTGAATAGTAATTTAATGCACTCCAAACCTATACAGTAAAATAAAGAATATTTTACATTGAACGATATTTGAAGTCTAGTCTTCGTTCTGTTTTATTAGCCAAAAGGTTAATCACTCGTCTATTAAAGTCGTCAGTGTTATTTAGAAACACTTTTTCAGCTGATAACATTCCTAGCGCACTTAGTCTTTCTTCTTTCATTGAGTTGCGTAAAAAAGTTTTTATCCTCTTTAACATAGAGAAACATCTTTCAGCCTCGGATGTTGACATAGGTGTTGTCACTAATACTTCCAATAATTTAATAGTTTCTCGAAAAGTGTACTTCATATATTCCTACAAAACTAATGATAACAGAGGAATGGCCCCAAAAATGGTTTGCAACTCTTCTCTTTCGTAAAGTACTTGCAGATCTGTTTTTAGACGATTTTTTTTCTAAAAATTGATGTTAACTGTATCAGAGAGCAATTGATCAGGAAAGTTCTTTTGGTATTCGATAAAATGTTCTTTCATGAATAATGCGGTAGCTATCAGATGTCCTGTGAAAGTGAATCGTGTCCTAATCTGTTGTATAATGGAATCGCAAACTTCCAAGGCTTCTATTTTTCTATTTGTTGAAACAGATAGATTGGAACGAGGGTAACGTCGCTTTTTCTGAGGAACAAGTTCTTCTTCGATTTCTAAAAGCTCCGAGTCTATTTTGTCAATAATTGTATCCATTTCATTACGAATTTATTGCATTTTCAAAGTTTTTTAGATCTTGTTTAGCCTTGATAGGGTCGATATTAATCGTCTGTAGTTGCTTAAAAATTATTTCGACATGTGGCATGACTTTATGAAAAACTGTTAACCAAAATATGAAATCTCTGTCCTGTAATCTAAGTTTATAAGCACCGGCTTGTTCAATCGTAGAATTTAATTTAATATCTTTGTCGTTCTCTAAAATATCCATAACGTATATCAGTTTATTTCGGTATTCATAAACTGTATTAACTGCCCGTGATTGGAAATTCCATCTCGTTTGTGATGAGCGTGGTAATCGTCTATGAACTATATTATCCAATACTTTTGTTCTTTGAGGTGATGTAGAAAGAAAAGCACAAATTCCAGTTAAATGAGCGAAAAAAATCCGAACAGACGCATTAATTGAACCTGCACTGCTCATTATAAGGTGTGCATAGCAATGAACATAATTTGCTAAAGAATATTTATCTTTAATTATTTTTTGTACCCCATTCATACCTCGGCTTATGACTGACGCCATAAACTAATTTGGTGTGTCATTAATGAATGGATTAATTTAATTTAAAATGGAATTTGCTATTAAAATGGCGTTGTGTCCGGGAGGATTTACAAATTTCCAAGATCTTTCTATCGCAGAATAATGATCAATTGAAATTCGTTAGCAACATCGGTAGTTTCGTCAGCAATTACAGCTACATAATTCCTTTTTTTTTTTTTTATTTCTTTAGCCACTTCTTCATGGTAAACGCCAAGCATGCAGTCCAATAGTTCGTTCTGTATGGTCTTAGAGGTCCCTTTAAATACTGTTGCTTTGTTGAAATGTTCCTTTAAATCTGCATCTAATTCAGAACTAAAATCTAACAATTCTCGGAACACTCCTTTATTTTTGGATTCTTCGGTTTCATCATGTCCGCGCAATGCTAATTCTAATGCACCACAAAATCTAATATAGTTAATAATGATGTTTAAAATATATTTGTTTTTATCAACTTGTTTATTGTGGGTAATAAAATTTTGTCTATAAGCCGAATTTAATTGAGTCAGTATATTTGATTTTCCAAGCAAAGAATAACTAAAAATATTATTTACATGAGCCTTACTCATGTGTTTTAATTTTCTCATAAATGTGTACCAAATCAGTTACACCATGCATCGTCCACGAAGAATCGCCCCCGAACAAAACACACACAAAACCAAAAGAATGCATTTTTTTCATCACATCTACTGATTCAGTTATTTTTTAGGTACAAATTCCGGTTAAATTTTCTCATCCGGCCTTTGATTTTTAAATCGGGAAGAGGTCTCTCAAGTTCCTTTATTTTGATTTTTTCCTCGAGCGAGTGCGTAGAAAAAGGTTTCAGTAACAGATTGCTTATTTTAATCATTTTGCTTTGGACTCTTGGACGATTTTTAATTTATTATACTTTAAAAAATCAACTATTCTAACTACCTAACAAACAAAAATTCAGCACGCATAGAATGTCAAAAGCAATACGCCGAGTTTGCCGAACACGCAATTGAAACAATACTATTCTAACTATTCATTCCAAGCCGCTTGAAACGTGGCCCAGTTTGAATGTATAAGAAGCGCTTTCTACAGGCGAATAGCGTGACCTTTAGTAAACTTTTACAATTAGGCATTCCAAACTGAATGGCTACCAGTGGGTTTTGACAGGTTATGATATGGCAAAATTATGGCAACTCTGTAGGCCTGGTGATTTGACAAGGTCAATGAAATAGATAGTTACATAGATTGATCATCCATATTTTTTAAAATAAACATAAGCTTATGCCTTAATACAAAAATGTAAGCAGTTATTATTTTTTAAATATCTAAAGGCTGACAATTGGTTTTAAAACACATTTTTGCTAAACCGATTCAAATTAATAAATATTTGCCAGGCAATATGGCCGCTCGCAAACGACCAGCTTTGAGCAATCTATATAACTATATATGTATCATTGACCCTATTAATGTCAACATGACAACAGGTGCCATATCTAAACTGTCATTACCCACTGGTAGCCATTTGGACATGTCGTTGGAATGCCTAATGGATTGATATGTAAGCAGCCGGGCCACTTGTCAATGTGCTCGGATAGACGGCGGACAGTCAATTGCTTGAATTATTAAATTTGTTGTCTCTAGGAATAATACGACGCAAGTTTTTTCAACGGGATTAAATTAAATAATGATAAATAATTTATATAATGTATCGTTAAGTCATAATTTGATCCGACAATTGTAATAATTATTGTAATTAATATAAAAAGAAATATTTTTAGAGACCGAAATATTTTGCGCCAGTGCCAAGGCCCTTTGGCCCCTTAGGATAAGCCGCCAATGATTGAATCTTGATTAAAACAAATTTCTTATTTAAATAACCATTGAGTTAAAACACAAAACTCAACTTTGGCCACAACAGAACAAATACGACAGTGACAGTTCACAAATGACATAACGATTTTGACATACGTATTTTTACACCTTTTTTAAAATTAGTTTTTGAAAATATGGACTCATGGTAAAGTTCCAATTTTATTTTAGACTGTTCTTACACAGTCTGTATATCCAAAATAATTTTTAAATCATGTTTTCTTTTCTATATACACACTGTATGTTAAAATGTCGGACAAGAATAGAAATGGCATTCTAATTTGACATTGTAAAAGTGTTGGAACAAAATTAATTTATTTCGATTCTTAAATATATCAAAGAAAATTAAAGAAATAAAATGGACAAAAGGCTACGGTACTTACAGGTATTTGTTTATTAGTAGAATCATCTTCAGTCATCGGAAATATCGTAATACTGAGGATGGATCTCGTTCCGTACGAGATGTTTACGCATATGAACATCATCACATATTGAATGTGGCGGATTCCAAAAAAATTTGCTAAAAATTAAAAAATAAGTTTTTTAAATGATGCATGAATATTAAAAAATCATCGTAGCTACCCATGTGTCTGTTTTCAATTTATTTAAATAACTGCTTTCTAGTCAATAATAGTGTAATAACGGTAATAACTTTAATAGTACATATGTCATAATTTTATATTAATAACCCTGATAAGTAGTTTTATATTTACTGAACGCGGAATTGAACAAGAGTTGAAAGATTTTTCAATAAATGATTATAGAATTAAAAAAATCCTATTAACTTTTTTTTATTACCCCAATGGAAGTTTCAATTGTTTTTAATAAAGACTGGTATATATAATAGTACAAGATTCCTACTTAAATCGACCATTCATTTATCCATTTTTCTAACTGAATCGGTTATTTCGAAAACAGCACAAACGACAATTTTGTCAATTTTCGTTTTATGCGATTTTTCTATAATTTTATTGAACAGGAACGAACAGAGAACAAAATATCACGCTAGAACCCCTAGAGCTGCATACACCTAGGTTGGCTACCGAAAATTATGATTTTGGTCTCATTCGATTTGAAATGGCATCTAAAACAAACCACCAAGTGGACAATAGGGACCGACAAAAATTACAAAAGTTAAAAACAATAACATAAAAAAAAGAATGGCTTGGTTTTTTCAAAATATTTCAAAAGCAATTTGAGATAACCAAAATTTGAAAAAATATCCTTAAAGAGCAGAAAATTTCCTAAAGAAAAGTCCTACCTAACTGTACCGACAATATTATAATTTTAATTTATATGTGAAAATTGGACTAAACTGGTAGCGGGCGCGTCAACTGAATCAAAGGTTTGATAAAAAAAATATTTTAACCGATTAAATATAAATAAGGAATAAAAAAATGTTGGTATTATCAAAACCAGTGGGGCGCGCCCTCCTTGTTTTTCGTAATTTTTAAATCCTTTATTTTAAGAAAATGATAAGGCTCAATAATTTAGGTAGATTACACCTACTTTTTATACAAAATGAGATATTTATGATGTAAAGTTTTGTTTTAACAAGTAACTCTAAAACATTTATACCTAGCAGTCCTCTTTGCACATATAAATAATATTCTATAGATAATAACAAATTATATCTTATTATAACAACTCTTAACAACGTTTTTATATCCATTTGTAATTACCTAATAAACATTATCTTTTTATAAAGTTGTAAGTTGGTAATAACTGGAGTTATAACAACTACTGTAGAACGTATACTAATATTCACCAAAAGTGTATAATTACGGTATAGTGTACTAGAATATGTAAGCTGTTGAATTTTAAGATAAGTTGTTGCAACGTTGATATAACTTTTGTGTTACTTAGGGAGGCAACGAAAAAGTTTAAAATAAATAATGAATTTTGCAAAGCGTTACATTTTAGAGTGACTATGTCAATATCAGTCGTCCTATACAGAGTGAGCTATGTTTGACTTTCACAGCCAACGAGAGTTCAAATAAATCAAAGAACCGAGTATGTGTGTTTGTGAAATGTTATGTTGTTAAAATATTATATTTTAAAATCTTTAACAGGCGTGGTCGTAGAAAAAATATAGTGTGTAACATGGGCGCAATTTCACTAAGGGTTGAGCCACAAACTTCTGTACTACTAATGTAACTAACTCTACCTGTGTGTAGGCCAGATACATCTAACCATAAAATTCGCTGTGATCTTATTAACGATGATATTCGATAAAGATCCATCAATTCCTTGTTAATTCTTCTTTCCCACATAGCTTCTAAATTTAGGAAATGTCTTATATTTTTCTAATGCGTGAAAATATTTAAATTTCTATTTAAGTTAGTTATTACTGAAGATTGATAATTATTGATATAATTTATTTTGAACCACATCACTTCTAGAAGATAAATTAAAAACTGAAGAAAAAATAAAATATAGTTTTAAAAACAAGTAAGTATGATTAACTTTATTCGTCCTATTAAAAATATATGTTCATAATGTCTACCTATCTATTTAGAACAATAAATTACTTGGATAGCTATTTAATATGTCATTAATAAAGTATTCAGAAAAAATAAGTTATGTTATACTATTTATTAACACTATTTAGTTAATTGCATGACTAAATAAGAACGTATTTTATTGGAAAATATTTTCGACATATCGACAAAAGTAAAATTACATCTATGAGGATGGTCAAAAAGAAGAAAGAAAACACAACATACTTAGATCCCCTGGACTAGATGAAGGACAAATGAAGTTTAAATGTTTTATTATATCCAATTTTATTAAAAATACTTTTTATTTGACAGATTAAACGATTCTTGAAGTATGATCGGTGACCATCCTTGTTCTTTAATAATAGCCGAATCCCAAGTACAAAATTCATGTCATTCATTGGCTAAATGTGAAATTAATAATTTTAGGAATAACTCCAAATCAAAGTTATAACGGAACAAATGCTGTTCCTATTTGAAAAACGTAAAGCACTTTCAAAGAGGTTACACCTGAGTAGCGTTTTATTCACGATACACATCGTGGTTTTACTGTTCGCAGTTGAATTTTTGACATTTAAGTCTAATATTTGTAGACCTAGATAAGTCAACCACTAAAATATGGACCTAAATATGCTAAATATTATGACTTGATTATTAAAATGTCAGCAAATTTATGCTGTTTATTATGTTTTTGATTCGTTATAATTTTGAAATTGGCCTCATAATATTCTAATAGAATTAGATTTTAAGCCCTATCCATTTACTTTTAAAATACCGCGTCCATGTTTAATGAATAATGAATTAGAATAATGTCAAAATGACATTTAGTTGTCAGCTAACATTTATCGATGTCGGGTGTATTTTAATTATTCATCGCGACGATCAAAGTTCGTATCGTGTTAAGTTGTACTGTGTTTAATGTAGTTTAACATGACGAACCCAAAATATAAATATTAGTAGGTATGTTTAAAAATAGGTAATTAAAAATTGCCGATAAAAATATTTTTAAAAATAATTGATAGTGATAGAAACAAAATGAAACTTCCCAAGAAAATAGTGCCGCAAGGTCACAGAATGAAGAAGCATTATACAATTAAACAAACGGAAAAGGAGATGATTAATCTTTCTAATAAGGTGCAGTTGATCCAAATCCAGAGAGATAAAATCATGAAAACAAATGATACAAAACAGGAAAAAAAAAAGAAAAATGTGTACCTCACTGCGTCTGATCACAAGCATTCTGATTGGTCCTTGACAAGTACGGAAGCATCTCCATAGAATGGTTATCTTAGAATCAGCAACTTGTAGGGGGTGCGAATAAGAAGCTGAGACCATCGAGCATAACCTTTACGATTGTCCTCATTTATTAGGTGATTTGCGTTCGGCGAGATGGCCAAAAGCACCTCTCGTAGACTACATCAAATCTGTAGGCTATCTGACGAGTTAAAAAGGGTTAAGTGAGGCCTAAGTGTTGTGAGGTAACCCATCTTCCACAGGTTACAAATATACATACAGAGAACCCCAAAATAAAGCCACTCTACAAACGGTGTAGTATAGGCACTAAAGTCTTATGTTATACCATTAACAATGTTTTCTTTAAGTTATAAATATATGACCCCTTAAGGTAATTTTTAAGTTTTGCTCAAAATCGAACCTTAAATAAAAATTACGAAAATGTGTCAAAAATGTCATGTAAGGGAGAGTGGGGGAATCATGCACGTCGGATAATCGTGCGCATCAAACTATTTCATATTTCGCGGGCTTTTAAGCGCCACCGATTAGTGCTGCGCTTTCTCCTTTCTACTGTGCATCACTAACGCCATTATTCATATCAGTTGTTTACGTTTGCACGGAATGAGCCCTGTTTGGTGCTTGATTTACATTGTTAGGTTATGTAGTTTGCTAACTGTATTACACATTGTCATTTAATGTCTAAATGAGTAATGATGCGCGCTGATGCGCACCATTACCCCACACGTAATCTAATTTTAAATATATGTACATATATTTTTTTAGATGCCGAGAAATTATACAAGAAAAACCACAATTCTTTCATATAAGGAAGAAGATTTACAAAACGCATTATTTGTGATAAGAAATGATGGCAGAAAAATAAGGGATGCAGGAAGGGCCTTCAATATTCCTGAATCGACACAAAAAATTGTCAGAAAATGAGCCGAAGCCTCCTAGTTTGGGTTGCAAGCCTGTGTTTTCAGAGGAAATAGAATCTGAGTTAAGAGAGTACGTTTTAACGCTAGCAAAACTATTTTATGGCCTAACATCCAGGTGTCTTAGGCGACTAGCTTTTAGATATGCTGAGCAACATGACGTTGCCCATAAATTCGACAAGGAAAAGGAATTAGCTGGGAAGGACTGGCTGTATAGATTTTTAAGGAGATAACTTGATATAAAGCTACGCAGCCTAAAGAAACCAGTTTAAATAGGATTGCATCTTTTAATAAGGACTCAACCAAATTATTTTTTTAAACCTTCAAACTATCATGGAAAGGTTTAAGTTTGAACCCAAGAGTGTTTACAATATGGATGAGACAGGCATCACCACGGTGCAGAACAAATGCCCTAGTTTATGGTCGTAAGGGATCTAAAAAAGTAGGATCTGCAATTTTTGGCGAAAGAGGAAGAACAATAACGGCTGTATTTTGTATGAATGCGGTTGAGAACTACATCCCTCCCATGATAATATATTCTAGAAAAAGGATGCCCAAAACTCTCGAGAAAAATGGACCAATTGGGGCGTTGTACAAGTGATCTAAGAATCTAAGAACGGTTGGATCAATTCCGGACTTTTTCTTCAGTGGCTCGGTCAATTTCAGAGGTATGCTAAGCCTACTGTTACTGATCCTGTCCATCTGGTTCCAGCTTATAATTTCTGCAAAGACAATAACATCCACATAGTCTCGCTTCCTCCACATATATCTGATCACCTTCAGCCTCTGGATCTAATATTTTTTAGCCCTCTGAAAAATGCACTATTTAGAGAATACGATCTATACTTGTCAAGTAACGGTCATCAAAAAATAACTGAATATGACGTAGCCGAACTTTTAAACAAAGCCTTCATGAAAGTGGCTACAATGGAAAAAGCAATTTCAGGGTTTCGGACGTCTGGAATATCTCCATTGGATCCCGACAAATTTACCGATGCTGATTTTGAACCTAGCCACCATGTAGGAAAACTTACAGTAGACGCAATACCTGAACTTGAAACTACATCCAGTCAAGATGGTACAGCCAACTCTTCCAGATAATTACTCAGATTTACAACATCAAAGAGATCCCAGCCCTCAGCCATCTACGTCTTATGATAATTCTTTCTTTGCTATGGCTCCAATGCCAAAAACAAAAGTTAACCAGGCAACGAAAAGAAAATCTAGGAATAAACAGAAATCGGAAATTCTTCCGAGCACTCCCATCAAAACAAAACTAGAAGAAGCCGAAGAGAAAAAAGACAACGAGAAGAAGCAGTCAAAACCAAAGAAAAACTGAAAGATAAGAATAGTAAAGGAGTTATTCGTAAATTTTTGGATGGTGAATTATCAATTCCGTCATCTTCAAAGAAATTCAAAAGCAAACAAAAGAGACCGCCAACGCCTGAATCATCTGATTCATTAGAAGATGATGTGTCAGATATTTGTGACGACGATGAGCTGGATGATATTGAAGATGATGTTGGGCTGAGCTTCATACCACCACCTTTGAATCAGCCAGTGAAACTAACCGAAGTTTGTGGTGTTTGCGGTGAATTAGGCAAACAACGAGAATTATGGTACAGATCTGTCCTTTGCTCAACTTGGAATTATGCCAAATGTATTGGCTCAGATACCCCGACAAATTATAAATGTGACCTATACTCAAATTAGGAGCAAACATAATGTTTTTTTTTATGTTTCACAACTTCAGTAAATGTTTTTAAAGTTAGTGTTGGTTTTATCTTATAATTAATACTTATAATTCGCACGATTCCCCAACACTTGCGCACCATTACCCGCAACGGCGGAGAATGGTGCGCAAGAGCACTTTTGTACTTTAAATATTTTTTCCCCTTAAATTGATTTACGTGCTGAGAGTAGACTAAATAGCACCCCATTACGGTATTTACATTTAAATTATCTACAATACTATCAGTGCTATAACGATTTTCGCTTAAGTGCGCACAATTCCCCACTCTCCCATAGTTTTGATTGTTTTTCCATGTACTATGAAAATCTCTTACTATAATTAAAAAAATTACAGTGAAATTTTTTATATGAATCCTCAAGATTCATTTTCCTAAGCATATCCTGGAATTTTTAGTTCTTAAGAATATGAAATAAATTCTAGACAACAATGTACAGTTTCACTAAAAAATGAGATACATTTAGTAACCTTTGTAGATTTTATGACCACATTTTTGTCGAAATAAAATATATATATATATATATATATATAACGAAGGAGAGTTGACACTTTTTAATGCTCTTATTGTATACCACCCAAGGCTAAGGTATTCTACATAAAATATATGGTAGAACTTATGCAAGGTTTTTTATAATATAATTATATGTATGTACCTTCTCATAGATCCTAAATAATTACCCAGAAAGGTGATAAGCATGTCGAAAATCATCTTTAGTTGAATTTGAAGTTTATGGTAAGATGAAGGTCTAATTTAAGGAAAACTGTTTTAATTGCCAATGTTTTAATAGTCATTGATATGTTCAGCAATTCAAACATCGTTTCCCTTTAACTAAATCTTTATTTTGCAAAAAACTGCTGAAATATTAAAAATAACCAATATTGGGCTTGCAGACAGCCATCGAGGCTTTAACAGTTAAAATAGTAAAGGGTTATTAATGGCAATGTAACTGTTATTAAAGGCAACTGACTGTAGCACGCCAACTGTCGGTTTTAGTGAGTTATACCCGTTTCTTTGTGGATAAAGTTAAAATGCCATCATTATAATTGGAAGCAGACAGTTATTTCCCCATTATTTCCCCAGACCAAAATGTTTGTTTGGTAATTAGGCCTTTAAATACTTTGGTTTAATGCAGTTTGTAAGTTTCTAACTTTAATGATAAAATTAGTATCATCTGCATACAAAATACTGTTATTAAATGGACATGCATTACTTAAAGCATTCATACTGGCTCCAATATGTAGCCCTATGGTATATCCATCAACAGTTACATTTTTATTACGTGATATTTGATTCTTGACAACCACTACTTGTTGATCATTATAAAGGTATCAAAATTAAAGATTTTTAACCGAGAATAATTAAATGTAAAAACATATTTTTCAGAAAACAAATAAAAACCACCCACCTTTAAAAGAGGTTATCTGATTTTCAAACAACTCTAATTCCCTTTTGATTACCATGGCGTTGCACTTAATGGCACAATTATTGATAATCACTTAACAAGGATAAGATATTATTATTATTACATCGGCAACTAAACATGACTTGTGGTTGGTATTGGTATACGAATCGCTAAATGCAGAACCGGGTTTTCACGAATTCGTTGGAAAATCCTGCAAATTACGGTGATTTTCGGAAAATTGGATTAAGAGAATATACGTGTTATACAGGGTGATCCTGGATTATTTCAACAAACTTTACGGGAAGATATTACACCTAGAAATATGAAAAAAATGTCCTCTGAATATTTAACGCTATAATACATCACCACAGAGATAGGTGTACTGTGAATAGTTACGTTTTCTCAGAGTATGTCTGTGGTGGAACTAGCCCTATGTTTATTTTCTGTACTGTTTAATAATGGACAAAAATCGTTTTGGTTATTTAAATGTAGGTACACCCTAAATACAGAATCGACCTCATCTTACGGAAGCAGCAAAAAATGCTGTTTATAAAAGTTTTATTTATATTGTTCAATAATCTTTTCAAACACCACACGAGGTAAGAATTTTTTTAAAGAACATTTTGTTGTTTCCTTATACGTTATAGAAATTTCACTCTACAAAATCCACCCGAAATACTTATATTTTGAGGAGGATTTTATTTCGTGAAATATAGACCCATACTTTCCAAAGAAAAACCAAAATGTTCTCAACAATTTCTAACCTATTGTGGTATACCTTTGAAAATTCCACACCTGTAATTTTGAACCAATCAAAATACGTGTTTTTGACAGATCACCATGGCAACGGAGGTATTTTAGTGGAAAGTTTTTTCTCGTGGGGTACCCAACAGCGAATTATACTGGAAATTTTTTGACGTTTACAATAACAGACCATTTTTGACAGACTGGTTTTTATTTGTTCACATAATAGGTTTAGTTTTGATACATTTAGTTACAATGCTAAGGTGTTTTCTATATTCTTCGGCCACTTCTTTTCTTCTTAATGGCGAATATGCAGGACTTTGGATGCTTTGAATTATGTGTCTATGTCTAATAAAATATATATAATATATTTAGACACTAATTTATTCACCTTTTTCCCATTCAGCACTTTGAATTTTGCGTAGTTTAGGTGCAAATATTCGTGGACAATTCGGAACAAATTTTCGTTTTTCAAGTTGGAGCCACAATCCTCTATTAATCCGAGTAAGTAAGTCATGGTGCAATGATTGATCATTACATCAGACAATTTCACGCATATTTTGCATAGCGTATGATTTTCAAATCGATTCATTTTTAAACAAATAGGTAATTTTGTTGGTTTTACTTGCTGTGCAATATTCTTTATCGCAACAAAACGCGAGTTATTTAATGTTTTGAACTGTCAAAATACAATGATCACAGCCTCCTACGATTGATGCTTGCTGACGCTGGTTATGAATTTCATACCATTTTAAAGCGCTCATAACGCATGTTAATAAAAACGCGGAAAAACTATTTTCTACCACTTGTAGTTATTCAAAACTTACGTAAAATTAAAGAATATACTATTTTCTATTTTCAAATGGTATTCCCATGCAACTACAATGAGTAGAAATAAGCAATTTGAATGCCTAAATAATTGCAGCGAAACATTTTTTTACGTCGGGCCGCTTGACAACTTCAAAACTGAAATTATATTCGAGGTTAGGGTCTCACTTAGTTACCATGACAACTCAACAATCAAGGCGACAACACCTTTTATGTTTCACTGGTGACTTGGAGAAAATAATTTGCATTGTTGAGAAACGAAAAATAAATTTTAAAAATATTTAATTTTCAACCATAATTCGGCATGGAATTTTCTTACCGAATACCACGCGAGGTCAAATTAATATCAGGAAATTTTTTCGAGCTCAGGAATATTTTGAAAATTTCCCGAGTCGCAGACGAGGGAAATAATTTGATCTCTAGTGGTATTACTAGTGATAATTTTTTTTAAACGTTTTTTGAGAATATATACGTATTATGGTAAAAAACATAAAACTTTGAGAAAAAAATTTAATGAACTGTGAAAACAGTTAGATCATACAATTTTAGTAATTTTTAACAGAAAATTAATAATTAATAGTTTTAGAGCTTAGAACAATGTTTACAGCGATTTGCTTGGCATATTGAAAGGCCTAAATCTCCAACCAAGCAACTTTATTGTGGATGAGATGGCTACTGCGTTCGGTCATACCCATAGAAAAATACAAAGAGAAGGTTTGAATAAATGGCGGGACTTGTTTCCTTGTTGGTAGTTGAACCGTAAGCGCTTAGCGCGCTGCTATCACTAAATTCAAACCCGTTTTACACCCATAAAAAATATGTTATCAAAAATAATGACAAAAAAATCAATAACTTTACTGATTTACCCCTTTAAATTTCACTTTAATATAATGTGTGATTAAATACAGGGATAATCGTTAATAAATGTAAAGTTAAAGGTAAATTTAAATATTATGAGATTGTGTAAATCTGGCTTTGAAAATAAATTAGGTTATGTTGCCATAAATATGTCAGCCTGATATTTTTATTTTCTAATGTGATATTTTTTTCAAAGGTGAGTAAATTGTATTAATTTAGTGTTCTTAAGAATGTCATTAACTTCTTATTCATTTAAATTTTAATTGCAAAGTAAATATTTTTCTAACAAAACTAACAAGAAATTTATATGTATTTTTCTTGCTATTATTATTACTCTTAGAGATTAATGGATTCACATTTTAAACATTTGTGGTCAAAAAAATGAAAGGAGTTGTGAGCGAAATGTGTGAAGCCAATTTACAAACAGATATTGTAGAACTGGAGATAGAACCTCATCATAGTTTTACTCATAAAGACCATGATGAAAAAAGGTGAATGATTTGTGTTCAAAAAGTTATTGTTCAATTTTTGGGTGATATTCATTAATATATTTATAAATAATACCCAAATATGTTCAAAAACTAATATGATATTTAGATCAACTTGTTAATTTTTGCATAGTTCACCTATTAAGATCATAAATCAGATGTTTTCTATTTTTATTGAAATTTTTATACCTTTTATTGCAAGAAAATATGTAAGAATTTAAAAAAGTTATGACTTGTGTTAATTTTTAATTTTAAGAATCACACTGCACCTTTATTTTTGTTTTGTTTTAGATATTCCTGGGTATGGAGATTTTTGGAATATGCATAAATGTCTATCTGAATTAGGGTGTGTTTCAAAGCCCACCTGTATTGAAGCTGGATGCTTATTGTACCCGAACTAGGCATTACAACTTTTCTAGATTTAAATAGATAGGTAAAGTCCTTAAAGGGACAATAAGTATAAGAATATTAGAATTAGAATGATCTTTCCTTGGATTACTAAGTCAGTATTAGGGATATTTAAAACAATTGTGTTTATAAATTAACTACTTTGACTTTTTATAAAAACTATATGCGGTTTTTTTAATAACAAAAACATTGTCATGTGCTATGCTGGTTATCATATTATATTTTTATTTTTCAGTAATTTAGTGTGTGATATTATGTTCAAAATATGCAGTTAGAAGAAAATGAGACACATGTAATTACATGGTAATTCTAAATAAATTAAACTTGTTAAAAATGTGTTTTATTTTTCAACTAATTTTATTTTTCAGTTAAAACAAGTGACATTTTCCATTTTTCAACATTTACCTACAACAAAAATTAACTAAACTTATTGTTTGTTTAGTAGTTGTAAGTAAAAGCTGTTAAATAGGAAAATGTTACTTCAAATATCTAAATTATCAAGCCCGCCAATTTTTAAATTGCTTTACTTAGTAGTGTCCTACTTTATCGACTGAAACTGACAGGTGTAGTTCAACCGTAAGCGCTTAGCGCGCTACTGTCGAGGTCAAGCAAACTTGTTACCAACTATTTACATGGAATCCGACCCCCGTGGTCATACCTCAATACTTTTACCACTATATTACCCGAGAATAACAACCGGATATTACTGTTTAATACTGTTTAACGCCATACAGTGTGTAACAACTAAATGCAATAAATTCAATAGCACATTCACTGTGCATGTTTATAAAAAATCCCGAAAGACATTAATTGTAGATTATAAAATGACATCCTGCAACGTAAAAATTTCACCGCTACCTTTAACCCCCTTTGAGTGATAGTTGCTACCCCCAAAGTTGAATATAGGAAGTAGGGCCTTGTGATACATCGTTTGAAAGGTCTCATCATTTTCTATTCGAAAATGCTGTAACTTTCAAATTTCTTGAAAAAATTAGAGCCAATCTGGGTATTTAGAAAAAGTTTTGACAAAGTTGACTTTCAAGCCTATTTAACTTGACCATAAAAAATAGTAGAAAACTGCTTATCGGTACAAAAATAGGCTTACCGTTATTCTATAGAGGTAAAATGTTAAAAAGCCTCCTGTGTAACAGGTTTGCAAAAAAATTTTTTTTAGTATTTAAAAATATATATTTCGCTTTTATTCCCATTTGCCTCAAAATTTTGTGGTAAATGAAAACGGTTTATTTCTTCACATTTACTGCGCATTTGGACGGCCATAAAGATAATGGAAAAAATCTGCTGCATTGCTAAACACTGGATTTTTCTGATTTACCAATTATATACTCTAAATAAGTGAAACTAGTATTTTATAGTAGAATGTTTTGTTTGTTACCTGTGGAACGGAAAATAAAAAAACAACTTCAGACTTCACAAATAAATGATATAATTATGAAATGAAGAAAACAGAGGATTTTAGTAATTTTTAGTATTATTAGACTTATTTTAAATACCTACCTAAAACAAAATATAAAATTAGTGTACCCATTTCATTAAAATAAAAATATTATTACAGAATATTTGCTAAATAAACTGGAAATAAAAATAAGATTTGCAATTAGTGAACAAAAACCATTTAGCATTTATATGAACAAAGATATCACGACGCACTTGGAAATAAATGATGACGTCGCAAATCGCAAAATCTTTAAGGGTTTAATAGTGGCTGCTATTT